CTCCTTCGTTCGGCTCCATCACGACCGTCCGCTCGATACATGTGAAAACGGACGGCATCCATTCATCGTCCTCAAATTCCTAGCCCGAGAACCATCCAACTTCTAGGCTTAATATCTCTCTCGATACTCAACCAAATTAAGTGTGGTTTGTTTCTATAGACTCGCCTTGACTATGAGAACGTATCCATATTGTTGATCAAGCCTTAAATCAAGTCTATAAGCATGGAGAATCAAATGAAGCTCAGTTTGAGGGGAAGTTTGAGGGAAGAGTTTAATACCTTTGCCCAAGAGGTGTGGCCTCGATTGAGTGCTTCCAAAAGCTTGCCTTGAGTCCAAAGAGCTCCTAGATGAAGCCTCAAGTCGTGGTGAAATGCCTAGGTATGATTTCGACCAAGGCCAATTTGGGGTGTTGATTAAAGTCCACCTTAGGGCTAGGGTGGTCTCGTGATGAGACTTTTATGGAGGATCTTCTTCTCTCACTGTGGGGATGGTGTGGGTGTAATTAATTTGAGTTTGGTGGAGTGTTTGGGGATGTCCTGTTTCGGCCTAGGGATTGAGCTCCAAAATTGAGCTCGAGCAGTGAATTTGAGTGGCTAAGGATGGTTGGGTTGAACTCAAGAGGTCTTGAGAAAGCTCTGGAAAGCTCTGGAAGCAATTTGGCAGAGTCTCCCCAAGGGATTTCAAGCTCTCTTCTCTTAGCCATGGAGGGTGGGTTTAAAAAGAGGGGGAAGAAGAAGCCACCATGGGCAATTGGGGGGTGGTTTAGGTTGCTTATGTGGATGCCAGCAAGGTGCAAAAATCCAATTAGGATGAGATAGCTTGGATGGGTTTAATTTTGAGTTTTAGCCATGGGGGAACACTTGCCCATGGCTTTTCCGGCAGCCTAGGTGGCCGACTGGCCAAGCTTAGGTCACTATCCAGTCCAGGGAGGTCAAGGCTTGGGTTTAGTGAAGTCAATTGTAGTTGGCCATGTGTAAGGGCATTGAATTGAAATAGTATGGGGGAAGGGCTATTTTGGGTCAATTTGGGTCAAATCATGGTTTTGGGTTGGGTTCACCCCTCAAGGAAGGTTTGGGCTAAAGAGAAGATCATTTGGTTCAGCTTAATCATTGGAGATAAATCACCATCCAAAGAGATTTGGCTAAACATGGGTTAGAGTGATTCATGGGAGGAGTTAAAACCTTTTTAAGGAGGCTTGAAAATAGCTTGGCCACTTTCCATTAATAGTTTGATGAGGTGGCAAGACTCTCATGGCTTTTCTTTTGCTTTTGGGGGTTGGGGTGGCTTCATGTTTTGCATGTAGCTTGACTAATTTTCATGAGAAGAGATTTTTGAATTTATAAGATATTTTAGTTGATTTTGGCATGATGCTTGATTTGGAATGATTTGATTTTAGATTTAGAACTTTAGGAGTGATTTTAATTGAATGGATAATGGAGATAAAATTCATCATGTGGGCTTTTAATGGAATTTGGGCTTTTTGGAATGACTTAAGGATTTGGGCTTTTAAAATTGAAATTGAATTTGGGCTAAAATTTGGGTTAATTGAATGTTGAGCTTGGTGTAGTCATGAAGGCTTTGGAAGAATTTCAAGTGATTTTGAATTGAATTGGGAGGTTAATTTGGGGAATTTAGACATATGGTCAAAATTGGGGCTTTTTTATTTGGGTGAAATTGGGCTTCCAATTGGGTCCCAATTGGGTCAAATTGGGTCAAATTGAGCTTGAATTTTATTTTGATTAGGATTAGGGATACTGAATTTTGATTTGAAATTGAGATTGAGCAAGATTGGGGTCAATTGGGCCAAAATTGGGGTTAATTTGGGGACATTTTGGTCTTTAAGGGCAAATTTGGGCTTTTGGTCAAATTGGATTAATTTGGTCAAATTGGGTCAAATTAGTTATAAAAATTGAAATTGGAAATATTTGGGATGATTTGGAATTTTCGGAAATTTTTGTAATATTTGAAATTTTTGGTCATGAGGGCATTTTGGTAATTTTGCCAATTTTTTGGGGTATTTTGGGAATTTGGTAACTTTGGTGAATTTTGGTCAACTTAGGTAGTGGTGAGGGGTTTGAGATGATTTTTGGACAAATTTGGGTATTTTGGGTAATTTTAGGATTTTTAGCAAAGATTGGGGTTGTATGGATATTTTGGTAATTTGGTGATTTTGTGCCAAAGTGGGTCAACAAGTCATGAAGCCATACCAAACTAATAGGAGTCATGTTAGGACTCATTTTGGATGCTCAATATGCTAGCTCTAACCCTCTTAGCCAAAGACTAGGGGCATATGGTCATTCATATGAGCTCTCTAAAAGGAGTCAGGAGACCAACCTAAGGGATCCTAGGGTTTGGGGTATGTGAGAGAGTGTAGTGTGTGCAAGTTAGCCCCACCAAAACCAGCTTACCCAGGTTTTGTCCTAAGGACTGACCATTCTATGGGGGACTCTTCTTGAGCTCCTCCATACTGACCTCACCTAGTAAGTGTCAGAGGTTATGACTAATATGTGGAACTTCAAGTCGAGTCAAGAAGAATTTGGAATTTCTAATGGTGAGGGTTCCTTTTCTAGTCCTCTAGGAATAGTCAACAGAAAAGTCTTATGGCTAGACCCTAGGCTACTAAAGAGGAAAAGTAGACCTCAACCAAAAATGAGGTCAACAGTCGGCCCACTGGCGGCTAGGCTCTGCCTGTGAAACGGACTGCAGTGTCGATGAAGAGAAAAAGAGTCGCCTATGGCCGACTGTGCGTAAAAAAATGGTGGAGAATCGTCGGTTATTTCATTCAGGATAAAAGGAGGAAACGAGCTCGCCGGTGTAAGGAGGAGGTGGACAGCTTCCACCGGCGAGAAACAGCTAGCAGCATGAGATTCGCTGCAAGAGGCTCGATGCGACGCACAATCCGCGAATGAGGTCTTCGGGTCGAAGGAAGGGGACGCCGATGTTGGAGAGGGGGGCGCGGTCCTGTGAACTCGCCGGCGATGTCGTCCGCCTGCGGGGCGAGGCGGCGCGTGCGATTTGGCGGCGAAGGGAGTTCGACCGAGAGGGGAAAGGGCACGCGATCGGGGAGACGAGTCAAGAGAGACATCTCCCGTGCGTTAGGGATTTAGAGATTCTAACTCTTTTTTTATAATAATAATAATAATATTTTATCTATTAATTAATTTCCTCGATTTGCGCACTTTTCGCACACGCACGGAACCCTGGCAATAAGGTTTCCTTCCTGGGTAAAATTGACGTTCCAGACACATTGTCGTGGTCCGTTTCATTGTCTGGGGTCATCTTGACAATTTTGCTAATGATTGTGCCATTTGAAGTCAATTCGCGTGCGATACGACACATAATATTTGTTGACCCAATCGGAGTCGACTGACGTGCAAAATGTCGACCGGCTTTTGCCTAAGCAAAAGCCAAATCCAAGCAGAATGAACTTGGCTACGCGCTCCTCAACACACGCCGAAAGGTCCCGGGTGAGTGTTTGAACTACTGAATGTTACGGACAGGCTATAAGCTATCATATTTCATGCATGTAAATACCCCACACTCGTGACATCAAAAATTGATGCCAACAGCAGGAAAGGGACAAAGTCTTCTAAATCACAACGTTGACGTGCAAATGAACTTGTTGTAAGAAGCGGGTAGCAGTCGATGACGATCGGTGGAGGTCGGCAGCTGGTGGTCGACGACAGTTTGCGGTGGTCAATGATGGTCTACGATGATTAATGATGGTCAACGGTGGTTATTGGCAGTCGACGGTGATCGACGATGCTAGGAGTGATGTTGGACTTCAGTTCCTTCTGAAAGCCTCAGTTTCTTTCTCAAGCCACAAGCCTCCAACCCCCACACCCACATTTGAGTACCTTAATAATTTTGGAATTGAGCAATCTTAGGCTCACTAGATTTGTCTTGTCTAGACGCTTGATTCGACTATAGGCTTGTTAGATTTGACATTCATCTGACATTCTAAAATATGTTTGTAAAACTTCCAAATGCAGTTCAATGACTTGATATGAGCTTAATTTGACTTGAATTGGATGTATTTTGTTATCATTGGGTCCGTCTCATCAAGCCGATCAGTTTGACTATAAGTTTGTTGAAACGAGAACTTTGGATCCATGCCAGATGTTGAGATTTTGTTAATGGTGTATCAGTATGTATATGTGTATATATGAGTACACACATGCATATATATATAACAATCCTATAGAGAACATTTTCAACTCAATTTTTAAAGCACGCTCTAATCACAAACTTCTAATTTTTAATCTAATTGTTATTAAAGCTAAACTGCTCCAAAAAAAAAACAAAAAAAAAAAAAACAATACACTCCCAAGTTATCCAAATGCAGCCTGGATTCGTAAACTATTTAATTCGAAATAAAATGTTTTTTTTAATGTACAATGTGCGTGCTGGGCCGGGCGGCCGTTTCCCGATTGTAGTTAATGAACGCAGCCTTTGATTGTTACTTGCCAGCCAGCTATGAAGAAGCAGTAAAAACCAATCATTTAATAAAATAAAAAGCCATAAACAACAAATTAATGGAGACAGATATCGCATTGTTCGAAACAATTTATACTTGCTTCAAATAACAATTTTTGTGAATATTAATTAAGCTAATGAATAGCCGGCTAATTACTATAGCTTACAATGGCAACGACTCAGCACAAAACTTACATTGCTCTCTACACAATCACACAGCTATTTCTTGTTTGTCAGTGAGTGTAATCAGTCTGCATGTTGGTGTAGGCCAAAATTAACTATTAATTACATTCAGCATTGTTAGATTTTGATAGCATCTCATTTAGCCTCATTTGTAATATTTATTTTCTTTGAATTTTGATGTGAGAATATGTCTACTTATCCTGCCTATTTAAAGAAATCAAAAGCTATTATTTCTTTCATCAATCTCTTCTTTTTCTCTACTAGCTCCTCGCTTAAATCACCTCGAGTCTCACAAATCCCCACACATGGCTCTAAGGCGAGGTATAATTATTTGCATGGTAATGGTGCTTACATTAATCATTAGCAACATTGGTCTTACTGTTGGGCACCACAAATACTATGTTGGCGACAATCAGCAATGGACTTATAAAATGACCTCCAATTGGTCCAACGGCAAGAAATTTTATGCAGGAGATATTCTAGGTAAATTCTATGTTCTTCTACTTGTTTTCAAATTTGTCAATTTGCATCATCAATTAGCTTAAAATTGCTTAATTTTTTTTAATTGATAGTGTTCAAGTACAATCCCGGTGAGCACAATGTGATAAAGGTGAATGCGGAAGACTATACATTTTGTCGAGTGCCGGCTAATGTGAAGGTCTATGAATCTGGAAATGATCATATCAAACTCAAAAGGGGCGACAACTACTTTATTTGTGGCATCTTTGGTCATTGCGGCATTGGAATGAAGATAGCCATCAAGGCTTATTGAGCAATGTAAATAGATAGATGTTATTGATTGATCCTTAGAATCTTTGCTTATTTATAATAAATCTTGTATGTTTCTTCTATGTTGGTTAATGTTACGTGTGGGTTCGCTGCAATGATTATTATCAATGTTATTTGCATGCTTGGAATAAAGTTTTCATATTGATATTGTTTTAGTAATTTTAAGTTCTGTTTCTATGAATGAGAAATGTAATCCATTTTTAGCCTGCAAATGAAAGGTTATATGGGTGTGTTAAATTTATTATGCATGAATATCTTTCTATCTAACTTTTATTTTAATATTTTATGCTTTCTTTATTTGACAAAAATGTTTTTGTTAATGTTATCATCTTTGATCTTAATTTTTCTTATATGAAATGATTTCCATAGTTTTATTGTATATGACAAACTGCCTAAGTATTATTAAATCATCTTATTTGAATAGGGTCTCTACTCTTTTATTCTTAGTACAACTATTACTCAAATCTTTTTGCAATTTTATCACACTATTTTCTTATAAAGGTAATTCATGTCAAATTCAACTTGCTTTTTAGGAACTTAAATCATTCAAATTTTTGCCCACAAAATATAATTACCCCAAGTCAATATGAAATAAAACTTTTGATTTTTTTTATAATTGATAGCATATGCTCAATATGTGATATTCTAGTCTATAATGATAATAAAACTTCTAAATTGATGGTTTTGGTTAATTAAGGTCACCAAAAAATGATCTAATTGATCTGAGGATCTGAAATATTGGATTATCTTGCTCATGATGTGATGTTATAGTTTAATGCTTCATTCCTAACTCTGATTGCATCAGGCTGTTTTGCAACAATTTCCATTCCTGCCAAAAGATTGGCCTTGCCCTCAAGTAAAATATGTGGATAAGTGGCTTAAAATTCTTCATTACTTATCCAAATGGATTTATTTGTGGGCAACCCTTCCCATTTAATGAGGTGTTGATGTTCATCGTGATCAATTATGTGTGCATGATCAAAATTGAGTATGTAGATTGGGTGGAGCACTAAATCATCATTCCAATACTTTAAAGACTCTTGGGTGGGGTGTAAACAAGAAGTATCTTTATATACTTTGAGTAAGGAGTTGTGAAAAATAGGGTGAATTTGTGATTAAGATGGTTAGTCAATCTTGTAGGTAACTTGCCCAACCAGCACACGCACTTGGAAGGGGCGTAAATAGCAACGACTTACTTTTGAGTTATGTTTCTATCTTAGAGTATTTAGTCTATATGGCTTCATCTTGAAGAGCACAAAATCACTTACGCTTAGTTCAACGTCATGGCAACAGTTATAATCTTCTTGTTTCATATAATATTGTGCGCGAGCAAGTTTAGTACAAAGATTTTACAAATTCAAATCGTATTCACGCAACCAATCATGAACTTCAAGAGGCTCAACATTTCATACCAAATATTAAATTATGAGTTGGGAAAGCAAGCCATAAAGAACTTGACAAGGGGCCATATCGATTATGGAGTGAAGTGGATAGTATTATTAGAGTACCCAAGCCATGGAATAAAGCTTGGACAGTTTGTCCATGATGTACCAACATAAATATTGTTGAGGGCTTTACTAGTAAATTTCATTTTCTTATCAGTCTCTAGATGGTGGTTTAAATTATAATTCAAGTTAGTATTGATTTCTGTGAAAAGACTTTGCCAGAAGGAGCTCATGAATTTGTTTGCCGAGATTTTTTTTTTGATAAGGGCCACCATAGACCTCAAAATATTCCTATCGGAATGATCAAATACTTCATTTCAAAGAGTGATATACTATATTGAATGACAGAGACATTAGCTTAGAATGGATTCAGTCATTCAGATGAGAGAAATTTTTGGACTCTGTGGAACTAGGTTTCTTCCCTTATCATACAGGTGTAAGATAAGGTTTATATTAATGTTGAGGTCTCATTCCTTATAAGGGCAAGCCTTCGTAGCTAATTACATCCTTAAAGCTGTGAGAGCTAAGGAAAATTATCGATTAATATGATAAGTTGAAATGCTAGAGATCGAACTTTCATAATTGGAGTGGGGGTCCAAATTGGAGGAATTATGTCCAAAGGATGAGGCTTACAATCTGATGACTACATGTCATGAAAAAGGCCCAATAACTAAGAAAGATTTAGAAAGATTTAATAAATTTGAACCGACTAGGTGAAGTCAAAAGATAGATTAGGGATACTTGATTTGATTGACATGAGTGATTGGAAACTCTAAGCAAAGGATAGAGTCAGATATGAAAAGATTTCTAGATAGAAATGACACCTTAGACTCTACAAGCAATTATATGGGTGGACTAACAAATATTTTGGGAATAACATCCCGGTTCAAGATGCTCATGGCTTTTTTGTCGTCCCAATAATACTGGTATTCGTCAACCATGACCAGCCTCATAACCAAGAATCTCCCTTAAATAGCGGAGCATGGAGGCTTCGTAGTTTTAAAGCAGTCTAAAATACCTTCATCAATAATCATGGGTTACTTCATTCTAAGGTAATCCTTCTAGTCTTAGGGGGTAGGTATGTTTTTTTGCATGTCATAGTCCTTAGCACTAACTATATACCTAATCTAACATAAGCTTCTATACTCATACTAGCTTGGGGTAAGTATATGACCCTTGATTCAGTGGTAAGTTAGCTAACATAAAGTTCATGCTGGATAAACCTAGGTTCAGTTCTCATGCTTTAGCTTGATGTGTTTTAGATTTATTTGAAGTTCATTATTTGCATTAATGTCTTGTTTGATTCCTAGATTTGTCAGTCAATCTGAGAAATTAAGGTTTTCTATGTTTTGAGTTCTACTTAAGGATTTGATTTTTGATGTTTGTGGAGAAACCATCTTTTGAGAGGTTTTCACCTTTGTTTTTGTTTTATGCATTTTTTTGTTAATTTTGTTTTGAAATATGAAGTAAAAGGCATGAAACTATACATGAAATGATATATGGAATAACACATGTAAAGCAATATTCAGCCTTGGATTAGACTTGGGTTGAGGTTGAGCTGAGGTATTATATGAGCCAGTTGGTTTAGGCTCAGGTTGGGCTTGGGCTGGCTTGGGTTGAGTTTGGATTTGATTCGGGTTGACCCAAGTTAATATGAGTTGACAAGAGTTGGCTTAGGTTTAAATTGATTTTAACCAGGAATAAGCTCAGTTGACTCGAGTTGGCTTAGATTTGATTTGGGTTTGACCTGTATTAAATCGGGTTGACCCGAGTTAGGTTAAGTTTGATTTAGTTTGACCATGGTTGTCTTAGGTTCAATTTGGGTTTGACCTGGGTTGGTTTACATTTGGTTTGAGTTTGACCTGGTTAAGGAAAGCTGACCCAGACCTAGGACTGCTTAGGTTTGATCTAGGTTAAAACCAGGTTAAGTTGGGTTGACCCGGGATGGCTTCGATTTGATTTGGGTTAGGTCTGGTGTTTGGTTTATAGTGTGGGCTAGACCTAAGTTGAGTTCGGTTTTGGATTAGGGTTTGAACTGGACCTGAGTTGGGTTAGGTCTAGTGTTTGGGTTTGGGTTCTAGGTAGACCTGAGTTAGTTTAGGTCTAGTGTTTGGGCTAGGGTTTGAGCTAGACCTGAGTTGGGTTAGGTCTAGCATTTGAGTTAGGGTTTGAGCTAAGTGAGTTTGGGTTAGGTTGGGTTATGTTCGACTTGAGTGAAACCCAATCCTAAGTTTAATCTAAGGCTATTGAGTTGATTAACCTAGCCTAAAGCTGACTTGGACTCCATGAAAGTAAATTCTTAAATTAAAATGACACTAAGGTGGAGACTTACAGGTAGAAGAAGGCTTCACTGAATGAGGAGTAGGCTTGTCGGAGAATTGCTTCCCTTCTTCTTCTTCCTCTGCTCGAAGTAAGTGTCAGAGAGTTAGACTCTTTTTTTTCCTTCAGTGAGCTGCCTATTTATAGGCTTGGAAGGTGGTGGTGGAGCCCTCAGGAGCCGTCTGATTGAGTGGCGCATTGACAGTGAAGATTAATCTGACGATTAGTAAGTCACAGATCGTTGTCGGCAAAATTGTGTGATAATTCTTGTCCTGATCCATTGATGAAGGTCGCGGATCGCTGCCATGTTTGTCTAGGCGTGGTCACACTTAGGGCTGGCATGAACACGCTGATGAACTTCAAGGTGTGGTCACGCCTAGGCCAGGCGTGGTCACGCTAGGCTAGGCGAGACTACGCCGATGAAGTTTTGGGCGTGGTCATGCTCAGGCCTGGCGTGATGGTTTCAGTCGTGTTCACACTCAGACCTGGCATGACCACACCAAGCCAAAGAAATGAGCAAGTTCCTTTTTGACCAATTTTGTTGCGCCAAACTAAAGAGTGATGTTAGTTCAAGTTCTATGTGATCAAAAGTGAGATCAACAATATTGTCATTAAATGATATAATCATCTTTGGAATTCCATGATGGCAACAAATTTTAGAGATTAATATGTCATCAACAACATAAGTGATTAGTAGGTGCTTTGTGACATCTAAATGAGCATATTTGATTAGGCAAACAAGAACTATCATAATTTTCAACGTGCATTTCAGTAATAGAAGCTAAAGAATGAGGTAAATGAGATTACTTGGTCCATAGTTATCGTGGCCAAAAGAAATGAATCCCATCGTGACCCATGATAACTCTGATATGATGTAACTCTAGCAAAGGTTTATTTGTTGTAGAGTTTGAAGCTACAACAATCCTGTTAGTTCTTTTATTCGCCCATCTGATGTAATATATTCATTGTAATTCTCCAAATGCTCTTCCATTTGGCTTCTAAGTTGAACAAGTTCAAGTTAGTGAGATGTTAAGAGTTGTAATTAACATGGTCAACAAGATGGACTCTCTATTTGTAGACTTTTTATGCATTTGAGGCCAAGCGTTAGCGACCTTATTGGATTTGTGTGGCTTATATTCAATTAAAAAATCATACCCCAATGTTTTGAGTAGAAAATGTTACGTTGATTCGTAGTCTGAATGATTTGTGTTAACAAAAC